CACGACACAGGTGCACTTACCTACATACAGGCAATACACGCATACACATAAAATAAAAATAATAAAATTTTAAAAAGTTTTTTTTAAAAAAGAGGAAGAGTTGATCAGGGCCTTCCACACAAAGCAACAACCCCAGTCCTGGAGGAGGGTATGAAGTCAGGGTGTGCCAAATCTGGTGTAGCTCTCCTCCCATTGTCTGGGTCCATCTGGAGACCAGGCTTGCTGGCTGCATCTGCCTTAGTTCCCTGCCTTGGCAGTGAAGCATTTCTTAGACCTTATGCATCTGAATGGAAACACTGAACCTGACCAGACAGAATTTACCTTTGAACCTGCATGTAGTGGCTATAATTCCTGCATTTAGGAGTGGAAGCAAGCAGGGTCAAGAGTTCAAGGTCATTCTCTGCTATAAGGTAAATTCAAGGTCAGCCTTATAAAGTTTGAGGCTACCTTGAGTACACAAAACCTTGTTCTAAAGAGAAAAAAAAGGCAAAGTGCAGAGGCCCAGGCCTTTAATCCCAGCATTTAGGAGGCAGAGGCAGAGGCAGAGGCAATATCTATGAGTTTAAGGCTAGCCTGGTCTACGTGGTGAGTTCCAGGCCAGCCAGAACTGTATCGTGAGACCCTGTCTTAAATTAAAAAAAAAAAAAAAACAACCAAAATCAATCAATCAATAATCAGTCAATCAGTCTGCCTGGCTGGTGAGATGGCTTAGTGGTTGCCAACCTGAGTTCCATTCCCAGAACCCACATGGAAGAGGGAGAGGGAGCAAACTCCCAAAAGTTGTCCTCTGGTGTCAGGACTCTCGCAGAGGCATGTGTGCCCCTCAGCACACACCAATAAAGAAATGTAGCAAATCTTTGGGGTTTTTTTCTTTTCTTCTTTTTTTTTTTTTTGACAGACATGGTCTCTCTTTAGCCCCAGATAGCCTGGAATTTACTATGTTCATCACACTGGCCTGGATCTCTCAGAGATCCACCTGCCTCTGCTTCCTGAGTGCTGGGATTAAAGGTGTGTGCCACAAGGCCTGGCAAAAAGTTTTTGATCAAGTTTTTTTTTTTTTTTTGGGTGGGGCAGCTCAGGGCCATAGGGAAGGTGACAGGACAAATGTAATGCCCAGAGTCATACAACTCCACAGTGGCTTTAAATAAGAGGTGACAAGAGTAAGGACTGGAGCAAGGCATGGTGGTCTTTAATCCCAGCACTGGGAAGGACAGACAGAGGAGGATCACCACAAGTTAGAGGCCAGCCTGGTCTGCATAGTTCCAGGACAGCTGGGGCCGCAGGGAGACCCTGTCTCAGACAAAAAAAAAGAAGGTGGTAAGGTCACATCTCACGTTAATAAGGGTAACTGAGCCGGGCATGGTGGCACACACCTTTAATCCCAGCACTTGAGAGGCAGAGGCAGGTGGAGCTCTGTGAGTTCGAGGCCAGCCTGGTCTACATAGTGAGTTCCAGGACAGGTGGGGCTACAAGGAGACCCTGTCTCAAAAAAAATAGACCCCCCCCCAAAAAAAAATAAGGGTAATTGAACATGTAAGTGGGGAAACTTCCAGAACTGGATCTTGAGAAAAGGCAGTTCTAGCACCTTTGGCTCCTTGGTGCAAGTATATCTACTTTGGGTAAAGAATTCCCAGCCTCAGGGCATCCAGAGGAGGTAGTGTGAGCTCTGGGAGGTAATTCAGGAAGGTCCTTCCTGAATTGTCTCTAGCAGCCTAGCGCCCAGGGCTGCAGAGATGTTTTACATAAGAAAGCTGCTCTGCTAAACCTTTTCTTTGCAGCTTACATTCCTGGCCCCCACCCAATTTAGTCGGTCTTTAATCTCTGTCTAGATGCCATTTTCTGATAAACCCTGCCTGACCTACCTACAGCGGCTACCATTGTAGACCTTTCCTCCAATCCCCACCCTAAACTGCTGTCTTGGAGGCCCTTGCTGGGCATGACCTCCCGGTCCTCCCACTCAGGAGCTCCTATTTCCTCTACTCTGCATCCTGTGTGCCCCAGCTGCCATTCTGTGTTATAGCAGGAAGCAATCTCCATGGGGAATTAGTGTGTACCCAAGGCAGAATGGGAACTCCAGAAGGTGGGTGTTGGATCTTTCGACCCACATAGGACATCCAGAGCAGCCCAGGCCCACTAGGGTGGGGCTTGGTTTGTAGACTTTGGAACTGAGTTTTGGATGTGCCTCGGGGACAGTAGCTGTCAGAATGGATGTGCTAGATGAGAACCTGGCTTTGTAGTAAGTGGATGCATTGAGGGGCCCTGCAAAATGTCTTGGGGAGACCTGTCTTTTCTCTGATTTTTTTGAGCTAGGAGCTACGTCAACCAGAGGAGAAAGACTTGTTCCCTGCCCCCAGACCTCCTTTTATTAGTATTATTTTTGTGGCTCCCTTCAGGTATGGTCACTGTGACCGCACAGCTTCCCTCAGTGGCAAATACATGCTGTCTGCTTCTCCTCTCCTGGCCCTAGACTTTTCAAAACACTTGCTGGCCACATGGTCTATCTAATGAAAGCATCTTCAGGGCCAGCGAGATGCCTCAGCCATGAAAAACACTTGCCACCAAACCCTGAGGACCGAAATTTAAATCCCTGTGCTGAAGGAGTGAAGATCTGCCCCAGCAAGTTGTCTGATGACCTCCACGCATGGTACTGGTACGTATGTGCCTACACAGCTTCACAATAAACAAAAGACATTTACAAAACACTGTCTTCAGATACATGTGTTGGTTTTTCAAAATGCCCCATAACTGCTGTGATAAAATGTTTGGAAGAGGCTAAACAAATGTTCTCTCAATGCTGCAGATATCTCCACCTCTGTTACTTGGGAGGGGTCAGGGTTTCTGTTTTGCCCTCCTAAGCCCATTCTACCCTCTTTGGCCAAATTCTTCCACTCTACCCTGCCTGATGTCCAGGCGTCTTCCCTCAGGGCTGAGATCTTTGGCTTTGTTTGGTTTTAATTTGCAGATTTTGTTCTTGTTTTTTTGAGATGGTCTCACTATGGATCCCTGACTGGCCTGGAACTCCATATGTAGAGCAGGCTGGCCTCGAACTTACAGATTCACCTGCCTCTGCCTCCCAAGTGCTTGGATTAAAGGCGTGTGCCACCATGCCAGGCTGTTTATTTTTAAATTATGTGTCTTATGTGTGAGTACATATACCTGAGTACAGATGGCTAAGAGTCCAGAAGGCATCAGATTCCCTGCTGTTAGGGTTCCAAACAGCAGCAGCTTCCCCCCTCCCCAACAGGGACCTACAGACTTTGGAGCCCAAAAAAGGGAACTGAGCTGATAAGCACCTTGTCCTCCTAACCACTGAGTAGTCTCTCTGGCCTCGTTTTTGTTTGCTATTTTTTGCTTTCTGTTGTTTTTGTTGTTGTTTTGACATAGGGTCTCACTGTGAAGCCCCAGCTGGCCTGGAACCCACTATGTAGACCAGGCTAGCCTTGAACTCATAGAGATCCGCCTGCCTCTGCCTCCAGAGTGCTGGAATTAAAGACAAGAGCCACAACACCCTGCTTGTTTTGAGACAGGGTGTCTGCTAGCCCAGGCTGGAATTTACTATGTAGCTGAGGATGACCTGATCCTCCTACATGCAAATCCCAAGTGCTGGGATTACAGGTGTGTGCCATGACTGGTGTCATGTAGTGCTGGAGATCATAACTGGAGCTTCCTGCCTGCTAGACCAGCACTCTACCAACTGAGCTGCATCCCTAGGCCCAAATGTATTTGTCTTCTATTGCTACTGGAACAAATTACCATAAATTCAGTAGCTTAAAGTAACACCCTTTCAACTCACATTTCTGGGCAGGCTCTCTGGGCACAAGCCTGAACTTAAGGTCAGGTGGTCTCTTATGTGGAGGCCCTGGAGAAGAACCTTTCTAGTTCATTCAGGTCTTGGACAGAATCTACCTCCATTCTGCTGTAGGTGTCAGGGCCCTGTTTTCCTGTTGGCTGTGGTCCAGGGCTCTTCTCAGATTCCAGCTGTCTCATTCTGTCACATGAACTCCCACTTCAAAGCTTTTGAATGTTTTCCTACTTTTGCCACCTCTGTCTTTAAGGTCCTTTTCCATTACTTTGGAACAACCTGGATAACCCAGAATCATTTCCCATTTTAAGACTAGTTGATTAGCAACCTTAATCACATCTGCAAAGCCCCTTTTACTACAGTGTAACTATTCATTTAACAGGATCAAGTTTACACTTCTGGAGATCTGAGCACCAAATCTCTTCTTTTGTTTAGAGACAAGGGTCTTACTGTACAGCTCTAGCTGACTTTGAACCTCCTATGGAGACCAGGCTGGCCTCGATCTCGGAGACTGAAGTACTTCTCTCTGCCTCCCCAGTTCTAGGATTAAAGGCATGTCCCATCATGTTATGCAATCTTTTTCGTCTCTTTCTGATGCTGGCCAGAGTCTAAGTGTGCGCTTTCTGGTACTTTGGGGCTTCTTTACTCTTTCTCTAAAGTCCACATCCTGCCATGTGTCTGGCCTTTATGTCATCTTAACTCTAACAGCATTTTAAAAATATTTTATTTACTATGTGTAGGAGTGGTGTCTGCATCTATGTGAGTGGATACGTGTCCTTGCAATGCCGCGGCGGGGGGGGGGGTGTCAGAAGAGGGCATCGGATTCGATGAAATTGGAGTTAAGGAATGTTCCTAGCCACCATGTGGGTGCTGGGAATCCAACCTGGGTCCTCTGCAAGAGCAGTCAGTGCTCTTAACCGCCGAGCCATCTCTCCAACCCCTAACGGCACCCCCCACCCCCGCCCCAATCCCCCTCTCCATTCTCCTCTGGGGAGCTGCTGAGATTTATAGCTCACCTATCCTGGCAGCCCCACTTCAAGGCCCTTTTGGACAAAGGCTGTTCTCTCTGCCTGGGCAGATCCTATCTCTTCTGGTGACTCCTGGTCTTTGGTGTCTAACCGCTCACCACTCCACCCCATGCTCTAAGCTTTATTCAGAGCTACGGCAGGGATGAGGTATCCGGTCCGCATCCATTTATTTAAAGAGCAGTGAGAGTTCCTGAGGGTCTGGGTGGGGTTAAGTGGGAGCACTGGGTCAGGATGCTTCCCCGGGAAGTTGGGCCGGGGTCCTTCAGGGAGACTGCAGGTGACCCCTGCAAAGCGCCCTCATTTGGGGTGTCGGCACGGCGGGCTTTCTGATGTGGAGGTCACCCGTCCTGGTCCACGCTAGAGCGCCCTCTCTAGCCCGGCTGCTGATTGATTGACATCTCACCCCCACCCCCTCGCGCTGTCACCCTGGTGACGCCGGAAGCATGCTCTGGTCCAGAGATTCCAGGCACCTACCAGAACCGGAAGTGCCCGCGGCGGCTATTACCCCTCCCGCCAGGAAAACCGGAAACGTGTTCCCAACTACCGTTCCGCCCGCGCCCTGGCCTTCGGTTCCGTTTGCTTCGCGGCCCGGAAGTGCGGCCTTCAAGTTGGCAAGAGGCAGCTACTGCAGGGCCTGGTGCCTGAGGAGTCGGAGGTGGGGTCGAACGGGCATCCCCTGCCTCAGAGGCAGTGGGGAGACCGGGGCGTGCGGGAGGAGGGATGGCAGCAGGAGGCTCCGTGTGCACGCTGCGAACGCGAGAGGGCGCTGCAGGACCGGGGCAGGGCGCGGGCAAGGGGTGCGGAGGCGGGAAACCTGGGTTGCAAGGGGCTGCAGCGGGTGCAGCTGTAGCGGGCCTGAAAGGGGGCTCTGGGCACAGGGTAAGGAGCGAGCCGTGATGCAGAGTAAGAGAGACAGGGCGGTGGAGCAAGGTGCATGGCGTGGGCGAGGGCGTGGCGGCGTGGGTGCAGCTTTAGTTATGGGAGCGTGTCTTTTTGTTCTGAGGCATCAGAGTCGGAACCCTCTGGGGACCAGGACGGGGGTGGGTTTGTGGAGGGGTTCGGGACCAATGGGTTGGTACAAGTTGAAGGAGACCGCTGACAGAGGCAGGTGCAAAGTCTTGGTGCGTTTGAAGTATTAATTCTCCGTCAGAGGACCCAGATCTGCTAGATCTAAGCAGGCTCCCTCTGGCTGCCGTGTGGGGGAAAGACCCGGAGGTAGGGATGTGGAGAGGACCTGCAAGGTGACTTCATAAATCCAGGCCAGTGGTGACTGGCCAATGTATGACCTAAACGGGGAGAAATGGAGGAATCTGGCTGTAATAAAGTTTTGCATAAGGAACTAGAAATGTTGAGTCTGAGACCTCAGTAGGTCCTGTATAGGGGTAGGATTTAGTGGGGCCCCACCCCTAGGGTCATGGCCCCAGAGAGACAAGGTGACAGACAGTGGACAGGTATCAGCATTATTCTTGTGTCTTTTTGAGACGGCTATCCCTGTAGCCGCAGCTGGCCTGGAACTCAGAGAGATCCACCTGCCTCTGCTTTCTGGGTGCTGAAATTAAAAGAATAGATCAACCTGTGTCTTAATTTTATCCTTTAGACCCTAAGTTATGTGAAGTCTAATCCAATTATAACATTCCTTTTGATAAATGGTGAAACAGGCCCAGAAATTTGGAGTCACCTGTTTGATGGGTTAAGTGGCAGATCTCAGATTCCCAAGTCCCTTGGAGGGGAGGGGTACCTCCAACTTTCCGGTGTCTGAGGGTGGACAGAGCCAGGATCACAGAGTTTCAGCTCAGGTTCACAAGAAGTATCGGGGTTGCTCATACACATTGGGTTGAAGCCTGGTGCTCCTTAGCTCTCTTCTGCAGTCTCAAAGTCCATGTGCCCACACTTGGAAACTTTAAGGCCTCAAGTGATTCCAAGTAGAACCAGGGCTGCAAGGCTTGCTGTGTGCTGTGTACTTGCTTTGCTTGAGTAGGAGCCACACTAATGCCCAGCCTAATCAGGTACACCTCAGTTATTCTGACCAGAGATGGGAGCATCCCATTCTCATGAAAACCTCCATGTTCACTAATTGATAGGACCTGGTTCCAAGGTTGTCCTGGCTGTGCATAGAGCATTAATGGCACTAAGAAAGTTTGGCAGAACAACCAAAAAGCCAGAGTCCAGTTACAGATAGTTGATGGGGATGAGACAGCCTAGTGCTATTGTTTTCTCAGGAAGGTCCCTGTCCTTGAGGGAGGGTAGCCAGTGTTGGAGGAAGGTGACTTCTCCACAAGGCTACCCCTTAGGAGGAAGGCCTTCTGGTGGCTTAAGGATAAAGTTAGGGGGCCAGGTGGATGCACAGAAGCAGGCCAAGCCCTAAAAACCCTCCTGGGGCAGAGAAGTAGAGCTGGGATATATGCTGGGGTTGTGGAGGTAGAGGGCGTTCAGAAGACCTGGAGGAGGGGTGTTCTGTATGTTTGGAACAGGGACTGGGAGGGGCTGCCAGGGATGGGGTGATCCAGGCCTGGGGATGTGGTGCCCCTGTGGGTTCTGTGGTAAGGGCTGAGGAACCCAGGGCATTGGATAGAAGAGATTCCTTAGCTGATACCTCACTCCCACCCCCACCCCCACCCCACGGTCTCTCTCACAGATGGCAGCAACAGAGGCGGTGCACCACATTCACCTGCAGAACTTCTCACGCTCCCTGCTGGAAACCCTTAATGGGCAGAGGCTGGGTGGGCACTTTTGCGACGTGACTGTACGCATCCGTGAGGCTTCCCTACGTGCGCACCGCTGTGTGCTGGCCGCTGGCTCACCGTTCTTCCAAGACAAATTGCTGCTCGGCCACTCTGAGATTCGTGTGCCGCCGGTGGTGCCTGCTCAGACCGTGCGCCAGCTGGTTGAGTTTCTCTACAGCGGCTCGCTGGTGGTGGCGCAGGGCGAAGCGCTGCAGGTGCTGACTGCGGCGTCGGTGCTTCGCATCCAGACGGTCATCGACGAGTGTACACAGATCATCGCGCGTGCCCGCGTCCCCGGCGCCCCTGCACCCACGCCCCTCCCAGCACCCGTACCCCCTCCGCTCGCACCCGCACAGCTGCGCCATCGCCTGCGCCACTTGCTGGCTGCGCGCCCCCCGGGTCACCCTGGCGCCGCTCACAGCCGCAAGCAGCGCCAGCCCGCGCGTCTACAGCTGCCTGCGCCCCCCGCACCCATCAAGGCCGAGGGGCCCGAGGTCGAGCCCACGCTGCCTGCTGCCCCTGAAGATAGAGGTGATGAAGATGATGACGACGAGACGGATGAAGAGACGGACGGCGAGGAAGGTGACGGTAGCGGCCCAGGTGAGGGCCAGGCACCTCCTTCCTTCCCAGATTGTGCAGCGGGCTTCTTCGCCACAGCTGACAGCGCGCGTGAGGACCCCCCTGCATCCACCGGCCTCACTGACTATGGTGGTACGGGGAGAGATTTCCTTCGGGTGACTGCAGTGACCGAGGACGTGTTCCCAGATAGCTTCGTGTCCGCTTGGCATGAAGAAGACAGCGGCGCCCCAGAAGGTTGTCCGGTAGAGACCTCTGCTCCGCCCGACTGCACCCTGGCCGGGCCTCGCCCACCTGGCGTGAAAACCCCTGGGCCACCTGTGGCTCTCTTCCCCTTTCACCTGGGCGCCCCCGGGCCGCCGGCGCCCACACCTCCAGCTCCATCCGGGCCAGCTCCCGCGCCCCCGCCCGCCTTCTACCCAACTCTCCAACCAGATGCGGTCCCCAGCGCACAGCTGGGAGAAACCCCAGCCGTGTCTGCCGCTCCTGCTCCAGCCCTATCCGGCACTCAGGTGCGCGCTCCGGGTGCCCCAGGCTCTGAGCAACCCGCCTATGAGTGTAGCCACTGCCGCAAGACGTTCAGCTCGAGGAAAAACTACACCAAGCACATGTTCATCCACTCGGGTGAGCAGGAGTTGGGGAGGGAAGGACAATGCCTTTACCACAGATTTCCGAGAACCTTGATCATTGGTGATGCAATTCCAGTGACTCGGGGGCGGGGGGCCAACTGGACACTGGTAAAGGTTTAGTGCTTTGTGATAATCCTAGGAAACTGGAAATTTAGTCCCCTCATGTAGAGGAGTTGGGAAGTGAGAACCTCCCCAGAGCTTTTGGAAAGCTGACCTCAGCCTGGGGTGGGCAGGATGAATGAAGCCTTGATAGGAAGTTGTGGCCAGCTGGGAAACGGGAGCTGGAAGGAGGGGAGGCTGATCACAGAGTCTCCCAGTGCCAGGCCAGGTGTGGGTTGGGGAAGAAGGACCCCGGAAGTTGGGGGAGCTCTGACTGGGTATCCCAAATGGGCAGTGGGTGTAGTTCCAGCCGGGCAGAGTTCCTTTTTGAAGGGTACCTGTTGGATTCAGGGCCCTGCCAGGAATCCCAGGGAGGGGCGCGCCGAGCAGGATTACAGAGCTGCTTCCTTGAGCGGCAAAGGGATCCTAGGTTGACTCAGGGAGAGTAGAGGAAATCTTTCCGAGGACAGGCTTCAGGGAGAACAGGCTGTTGATATGCGTGTGGCCCGCCTTGTCGTCCGCAGGGGAGAAGCCACATCAGTGTGCAGTGTGCTGGCGATCCTTCTCGCTGCGGGACTACCTGCTGAAGCATATGGTCACGCACACGGGTGTGCGCGCCTTCCAATGCGCAGTGTGCGCCAAGCGCTTCACGCAGAAGAGTTCGCTCAATGTGCACATGCGCACGCACCGGCCTGAGCGCGCGCCCTGCCCCGCCTGCGGCAAGGTTTTCTCGCACCGCGCGCTGTTGGAGCGCCACCTGGCCGCTCACCCGGCAACCTGATTCAAATACCGCTGCGGCACCGTGGGATCTACCACCCGGTGCAACTGGTCTCGCCTGCAGCTGCGGTCAGACGCTTCGACCTGGTCCGCTCCACCAGAAGGCTCTGGCTCCGACCCTCCCCTTCACTTCTTTTTCCCTGTGGACTTGGGACCCAGACCCCTTTTTCTCTCCTACTCATACGTAGACCCTCTGGGTGGGGCGGGACCAGTAATGGATGTTCGGGGACCCTGGTACCTCTGAGAAATAGAACATTCGCACATTGAACTGGATGTCCAGGTCCTTGGGGCCTGGCACAGGATTTGTGCCTCACCCCCTGCCGGCGTATGGTTGTCCTCTGCCCCCGTGTTGGGCTAGAATTGTCTTCACCCATAGTTTGGAGGCATCTGGTGTCAATGGAGGCTCGGGTGGACCCACCACAGGACTTTAGGATTCTGTTCTAATAAAGGCTAGTGGACTAGGTCGTGCCTCATGTATTTTCTGGGCTATGGGTGTTGGGGCTTGGTGCCTGTGTTCCTAGGTGGCAACCTTGCAGGCTCCTGGGCAGACAGGGAACAGTTTGCTATCCTGGACCTGTGTTTTGGGATTTGGGTGGGTAGGCTGCATATGTAACTGAGGGCCAGTTCTCTTGGAGTGGTTGACCCTAGAGGGAGGGGAGCCACAGACCTAGGCACAATGTAGAATTTGAATCCCCCCTCCCACGAGAAGCCTTTTAGACTTAAGACTCTTCCCCCATTCTGATAGGTATGATGGTAGAACACCTTACTTGTGAGATGCCCAGGGGGTTCTTTGGGGTCAGGCTACTTTGAGGACATATGAGACCTCAGGATACCTGCCCTGATTATTGGGCACCAAATACTAGTAGGCCCAGAGTAGACTGACTGGTTGTGCCACTGGTGGCGTGGGAAGCAGGAATGGCCAGTTCCAGGCTGCCTACTGAGTAAGTGAAGGCGACCCTGTGTCAAAGGAACCACAGTTACACCTGTCAGCCCAAAACGTCACGCTGCCCTCCCCTGCTCCACTTCCAATTCACTGGTGTCTCACTAAGGATTTGGAGTGGGCTCCAGTCTGGAAGGCCAGGCCCCAACCATACCTTGGCTTCTGGGCCCACAGATCTTCTTTGGCTTGGTGTCACAGGCAGAGCTCAGCCTCCTGAACTTCAAGACTCAATCCACACAGATGCCAAGAGTGGGCAGAGTCCCAGTGGAGGCTCATGGTGGAGGACAGAGCTGGGTTTGAATCCAGATGATAAAAGTCTTGCATGTATTTACTAATCACTGCATAACTGGTAGGTGACTAGGGTCCCCTGGTGTCAGAAGATGACTTTCCAACCAAGTAGAAACACAGGCTTCTCTTGCTTTTTCATTAGGCTGGGTTTTCTCCCTGTCTCCCTAGTTTCCCATTCCAAGTTCCCATTTTCATTAGAGAGGAGGGAGAGAAGGCAGATGTCAGCCCTGAAGGGGAGGCTGGTAGTAGTATCCAAAGGAGGCGGGGCAGGTCTGATGAACTGGCAGTAAGGCTGTAACCACAGGAAGACCTCCCTGCCAGGCAGAGGTAAAATAAAAGGTCAGAGTCCAGGGCTCAAGAGCAGCTCTGGTAGTACCTGGTCCTACTTGGGGAGTGAGGTAGGCAGGCTTCCTCAAAGACAGGAAGTTAGGACTACGGAGCTCTGGTGCAGAGCTCAGACTACACATTCACAAGCCACTTAAGAGAGCGGGCCGGTGCCATGGGTATTGGGCAGAAGTTGGCCTTTGTGTTGTTGCTGTTGCTTCTTCTGGTGGGCCTTAGGAAATCCCTATGGACAGCAGCTGCGGGCCTGGCCCTTCGTTGGTTGCTGGGAGACACCATGTGTTTCGTGCTGCTCAGCCTGGCAGTGCTGGCGAAGCCCTGGATCAGTTCCTGGATGCCTCACTGGCTGAACCTGGTGGCTGCAGCCCTCACATTAACCCTGTTGCCTCCACGGCCACCCCCAGGGCTTCGTTGGCTACACAAAGATGTGGCCTATTTATTCAAGATCGTTGTCTTTGGCCTGAAAGTCAGAAGACAACTGAAACAGCAGACCCCGGAAACCTTTGTGGATATCTTTGTGCGACAAGCACGAGCTCGGCCAGACAAGGTGGTCTTGGTGTGCACAGGGCCAGAGGCCTGCTCAATCACTGCTGGGGAGCTGGATACTCGGTCCTGTCAGGCAGCATGGGCACTGAAGCCTGAACTGGACGGCATCACAAGCCAGCAGGGCAGAGAAACTGCTGCTCTCTTGGTACTGCCCTCCAAAACTATTGCTGCTTTGAGTTTGCTTCTGGGACTGGCAAAACTGGGCTGCCCTGTGGCTTGGATCAACCCAAATGGCCGAGGGATGCCCCTAGTACACACTGTGGTGAGCTCGGGGGCACGTGTGCTGGTGGTGGACCCAGGTGAGAGTTCCAGGGCCAGTGGAAGAAAGAAGGGGACAGGAGCAAGACAGGTCAGGCATTTTGGTGGGAGCAGGGCAGACAGCCTTTGGTTCTGTCCATTCCTATTCTAGGCAATTAGGGCCAAAATGTTGGTTACCTAGAAAATAATTCTGGAGTCACTGGTTTAAATTTTTTTTTCTTCCCCAAATGGCTCTTTCAATCCTGTTTGACCAATTTTTTTTTTGTATTAATTATGGAATTCTTTACTTAAGAAAGAGGGTGATACTGGGTATGCTGGTACATGCCTTTAATCCCAGCATTTGGGGAATCAAGGCCAGCCTGGTCTATACAGCAAGTTCCAGGACAGCTGGGACTACAGGGAGACTCCATCTCAAAAAGACGAAAAGGAACGAGGAAGCTTGTCTCTGCCGTTTGCCCTTCTGTCACTGGGTCTCTGGTCTGCCCTCCTGATCTCCAAAGTTAAGATTTGCCTCTGTTTCTTCTCTGATGGTCCCTGTAGATCTACAGGAGAGTCTAGAAGAAGTCCTTCCCAAGCTGCTAGCTGAGAACATCCGCTGCTTCTACATCGGCCACTCCTCACCCACACCAGGTGTGGAGGCTCTGGGGGCCGCCCTGGATGCTGCACCCTCGGACCCGGTGCCTGCCAGCATTCGAGGCACAGTCCAGTGGAAAAGTCCTGCCTTGTTCATCTTCACCTCAGGAACCACCGGTGAGGGTGCCTGAGGCGCTCCTCCCCCTCTGCACTCTGATCTGGCCTGACTTACCTCACATGATGCTCTGTTTGTTCTCTGATGCCCAACTCTGCCATCTGATCTAGACCCCAACCTTGACTCTGACCCCTAGTGTCTTTCAGTATGATTTGGATCTATTACTCCCAGTTTTAGAAACCAACCACAGAGTGGGGTGTGGTGGTGTTCACGTGTAAATCCTAGCTCTAAGGCACTAGGAGGCAGGCAGATAAAGAGTTCAGGCCTGTGCTCTCCCTTCCACTGGAGTAAAACTGGAATGGTACAGATTTAGCTTGGTCCTTGAACAAAGATGACTTGCAAATTCCTTAGGCATTCCATACTTTTTTTGTTTGTTTTTTGAGACAGGTCTCCTTATAGCCCCCAGCTGGCCTAGAACTTATTAAATAGACTAGGATGGCCTCAGTCTCACAGAGATTCACCTGCCTCTGCCTCCCGAGTACTGGGATTAAAGACGTGTGCCACCACATCCCACCCATTCCATATTTTTAAAAAGAAATAAAGGAGTCGGGCGTGGTGGCACACTCGGGAGGCAGAGGCAGGCGGATCTGTGTGAGTTCAAGGCCAGCCTGGTCTACATAGTGAGTTCCAGGACAGCTGGAGCTACAAGGAGACCCTGTCTCAGAAAAAAAATAAATAAAGGAGGGGCTGGAGAGATGACTCAGCAGTTAAGAGCACTGGCTGCTCCTGCAGAGGACCTGGATTGGGTTCTTAGTACCCACAGGGCAGCTAACAACCATCTATAACTCCAGTTCCAGGGGATCTGATGTCCTCTTCTGGTCTCCATGGGTATTGCTTGCACATGATGCATCTACATACATGCAGGAACAACATTCATACATACAAAATAAATTTAACTTTTTTATTTTATGTGTGAGTATATTGCCTACATGTATGTAAGTGTACCTGTGTCATGAAATGCCCGTGGAGGTCAGAAGATGGCACTGGATTCCCCAGGAACTGGAACTAAGGATGGTTGTTAGCTGCCATGTGGGTGCTGGGAAACAAACCCAGGTCCTCTGCAAGAGCAGCCAGTGCTCTTAACTGCTGAGCCATCTCTCCAGCCCTGTAAATCAAAAAATTTTAAATAGGGGCTGGAGAGATGGCTCAGCAGTTCAGAACACATGGCAGCTAACAACTGTCTGTAACTCCAGTTCCAGGGAATCTGACACATTCTTCTAGCCTCCGTGGGCATTGCACACACATGGTACACTTACATGCATATAGGCACTACACTCATATACATAAAATAAAAATAAAATATTAAAATCCATAAAATAAAAATTTTTAAATAAAAATAGCCTCTTCTGACCTCCGAGGGCATTGCATGACACGCGTGCACTTACCTACATGTAGGCAATACACACATACACATAAAATAAAAACAATAAAATTTAAAAAGTTTAAAAAATAAAATAAAAAATAAAAGGAATAAAAGTTCTTTTGGTAGAAAGAAAAGAAAGAGAGGGAGGGAAAAGGAATTCAAGGTCAGTCTGGGCTACATAGTGTGTTCCAGGCTTCCTGAGCTACAGAGTGAGATCTTGTCTCAGAAAAACAAAACAGAAAAAAAAAAACCACACCCATAAATTGTCATGTTTATTATTTTGTTATTTATTTTTTAGCCTTTTGGGACAGAGTCTTGCTCTAGCAGCCCAGGCTGGCCTCAGACTCACTATGTAGCTGCCTGACACTGAGTGCTGGGATTCTAGGCCTGTACCACCAGACCTAGCAAATTTTCATATTTGGTCCATCTTAGAGACTCAAACCCAGGTAGGCCTGACTATGGAGACCCACACTGCATTGCTGGTCTCTCTTCCTTTCCCTCACTTCTCACTCTTTCATCCTCCAGGGCTCCCCAAACCAGCCATTCTCTCACATGAACGAGTCTTGCAGATGACCAAGATGCTGTCCTTCTGTGAGGCCAAAGCTGATGATGTGATCTATTGTGTCCTGCCTTTGTACCACACGATGGGACTTGTCCTTGGGGTCCTTGGCTCCTTAGAGCTTGGTAAGTCCTCTCAGGGTCCTTCTAAGCCACAGGACCACTACAGTGGGTGTTAGTGTGGGGCAATCAAGATAAGATTCTCTACCCTATACCCCAAGTTTGGTTTCTTCCCTCCCTCCCCACCTGTCTTTTGACAGCATCTCAAGTAGCCAAGGTTGGCCTTAAACTCAGTATGTATTGCATTTTACAGTTAAAACAGCATGCTTCCCCCCTCTCCCAGCCCCCCACAATTACTATTAGATTAAAAACATCACTGAGGGGGCTGGAGAGATGGCTCAGGCTTTAAGAGCACTGGCTGCTTTTGCAGAAGGCCTAGGTTCAGTTCCCAGTGTCCACATGGTGGCTAACAACCATCCATAACTCCAGTTCCAGGGGATCTGATGCTCTCTTCTGGTATCTGCAGGCATTGCATGGCATGGATGTGGGCAAAACACTCATACACGTAAACTAAAAATAAATAAAAATGTCCCTGAGTGTAGTGGCTCATACCAGTTCATACCCCAATACACAGAAGGCAGAAGCAGAAGAATCACTGGAAATTCAAGGCCAGCCTGATCTACATAGCGAAGTCCAGGCCAACCATGGATTCAAAGTGAGAACCTCTCTCAAAAAACAAAAGTGAGGCTGGAGAGAAGGCTCAGCAGTTAAGAGAATTTGCTGCTCTTGCAGAGGATCTGGGTTCAGTTCCCAGAACCCATGTCAGGCAACTCTCGACTGCATATGACTCTAGTTTCAGAGTATCTGACCCCTCTTCTGGTCTCTGCAGATACCTGCATGTATGTGGTGAACACACATACACTCAGGCATAGACCCAAAGAGATAAAACAAAAAACAAATCTTTTTTAAAAAGAAAAAAACAGGGGCTGGAGAGATGGCTCAGCGGTTAAGAACACTAACTGTTCTTGCAGAAGACCCAGGTTCGAATCCTAGCACCCACATGACAGCTACAACTGTCTGTAACTCCAGTCCCAGGGGATCCAACAGACTCTTCTGACCTCTGCAGGCATTGCACAACATGGGTGCACTTACCTACATGTAGGCAATACACTCGTACACACAAAATGAAAAAAAGAAAAAGAAAAAAGGTAGGCATGGCACACACCTTCAATCCCAGCACTTGGGAGGCAGAGGCAGGTGGATCTCTGTGAGTCTGAAGCCAGCCTGGTCTACACAGTGAGTTCTAAGCCAGCCAGGACTACAGGGAGATGCTGTCTCAAAAACAAAACAAGACAAGACAAGAAAGAAATAAAGAAACAAACAAAACAACAAAAGAAGGAAAGAAAGGAAGAAAATGCCTCCTAGCAGCTGTCACTTATTTTGCAGGGCTGGGGAAGGAGTCCAGGACCTTGTGTGTGCTAGGCAATCACTCTGTCACTAAGCCATTCCCCCATCTCCTTGTTCGTGAATTCAGAACAAATACTTTTTTTTTTTTTTTTTGGTCTTTTTGAGACAGGGTCTCCCTGTAGCCCCAGCTGTCCTGGAACTCACTATGTAGACCAGGCTAGCCTTGAACTCACAGAAATCCGCCTGCCTCTGCCTCCCGAGTGCTGGGATTAAGGGTGTGTGCCACCACGCCTGGCTTAGGACAAATACTTTACTGTTAAGCCACCCCCCTCACTGAAGGATGAGCCAGCCCCTCACTGGGGGATAATTCTAAGTAGGGGCTCTACCACTGAGCCATGCTCCCACCAGCCCCTCACACCTGGATTCTAGGGATGTGTTCAATGACAGAGCCACACACCCACAGCCCCTCACTGGGGGATTCTAGGCAAGTGCTCTCCCACTGAGCCACACATACACCCCCAGCCTCTCACTGGGAAATTCTAGGCAAAGGCTCTATGACCAAGCCACATCTCTAGCTCCTCACTGAGGGATTCTAGGCAGGTGCTCCACCTCTGAGCCACATCCCTAGTCCCTCACTGGGGGATTCTAGGCAGGTGCTCTACCACTGAGCCACACCCCTCCCCTCACTGGGGGATTCTTGGCAGTTGTTCCACCTCTGAGCCACATCCCTAGTCCCTCACTGGGGGATTCTAGGCAGGTGCTCTACCACTGAGCCACACCCCTCCCCTCACTGGGGGATTCTTGGCAGTTGCTCCACCTCTGAACCACAACCCCAGCCCCTCACTGGGGAATTCTAGGCAGGTTCTCTACCACTGAACCACACATTTAGTACCTCCTTGGTGAATTTTAGGGACCAGACCCATTGTCACAGACTGTAACATTGTACTGTGTTTGAAATGCAACAGTCAGGTAATCAGGTGGCTTCTCACATCAACATGGAGCATGACCAACTCCTTTTGTCCCTCCTAGGAGCCACCTGTGTCCTGGCCCCCAAATTCTCTGCTTCCCGCTTCTGGGCTGACTGTCGGCAGCATGGTGTGACAATTATCCTGTACGTGGGTGAGGTCCTACGGTACCTGTGTAATATTACCCAGGTGAGGGTCTAAGATTATGGCTACATGGTTGGAAACACCAGGCATGAAATTCCAGATGACATTCCATGTAAAGGTCTCATATAAAGATTTGGGCAGGAAATAGAGGTATAACTCAGAAATAGAGTGCATGCCCAGTGTGTGTGAGACCCTGGGTTCAATCTGCAGCATCAAAATAAAAAAGACTGTGGTATGGATCTCAAGCCAGGTAGCCCTTCTTGGCTACATAGCAAGTTGAATGTTAGCCTGGGCCACATAAGACCCTGTCTCAGAATAAAGCCCCAACATGGTAAGTTCTGTACGTTTCCAGGTTTTCTATAGGGCTCCTTTGACAATGAGTCACCCCACTGGGCAGGTGTCTTAGTTTCCTTTTCTATTGTTGTGATAAAATACAAAAGCAATTTAAGGGAGAAAGGGTTTCTTTGGTCCACAATTCCAGGTTACAGTCCAATCATTGTGGGGAAATCAAGGCAGTGGGAAGTTAAAGCAAGTCCCCTCACATCCAGAGTGAAGAGCAGAAAGCAATGAATTAATGCAAGCTTGCCAGTGCTCAGCTCCCCGTCTGCCCTTCATTCAGTCCAGGGCCCAGCCCATGAACTGCTGCAGCCCACATTCAGGATGGGTCTTCCAAACTCAGCCTAATGAGGAAAATCCTTCAGGGGCTGGAGAGATGGCTCAGTGGTTAAGAGCACTGACTGCTCTTCCAGAGGACCCAGGTTCTGTTTTCAGCGCCCACATGGAGCTAAAAACTGTGGGTGACACCAGTTGCAGGGACTCCAATACCCTCTTCTGGCCTCTGTGGGCATTGCACGCACATGGTGCACTTACATACTTACAGGCAAAACACATATACATATAAAATAAAAATAAATAAATAATTTTTTTTGGTCTTTTTTGAGACAGGGTCTCCCTGTAGCCCCAGCTATCCTGGAACTTGCTATGTAGACCAGGGTGGCCTCAAACTCACAGAGATCTGCCTGCCTCTGCCTCCCGAGTGCTTATTTTTTTTTAATTTTATATGTATGCGTGTTTTGCCTGCATATAGGTTAGTACACCCATATCATGCAATACCAGTGGAGGACAGAAGAGGCTGTGGGATCCCCTGGAACTGGAGTTACAGACAGTTGTTAGCTGCCATGTGGGTGCTGGAATTCAAACCCGGGTCTTCTGCAAGAACATCCAGTGTTCTTAACTGCTGAGCCATCTCTCCAGCCCTTATTATTTATTTATTTATTTATTCATTCATTTATTTATTTATTTATTTATTTATTTATTTATTTATTTATTTATTTTTGTCTTTTTGAGACAGGGTCTCCTTGTAGCCCCAGCTGTCCTGGAACTCACTATGTAGACCAGGCTGGCCTCAAACTCACAAAGATTTGCCTGCCTCTGCCTCCCAAGTGCTGGGATTAAAGGCGTGTGCCACCGTGCCCGGCTGCCTGCATTTTTTAAGTGTACCCATGTCACGAAATGCCCAAGGATGCCAGAAGAGGGCGTCAGATCTCCTGGGACTGGAGTCAGTGCTCTTAACTGCTGAACCATCTCTCCAGCCCAGTATATAATTTTTTAAAAATTCCTCACAAGGAGGCATGGTGGCTCACTCACACCTTTAATCTCAGCACTCAGGAGGCAAAGGCAGGCAAGTGGATCTCTGTGACTTCAAGGCCAGCCTGGTCTACATAGTGAGTTCCAGGTCAGCTGGGGCTACAGGGTGACCCTGTCTCAAAAAAAAAAAAAAAATCCTTACAGGCATAGCCACAGGCCAACCTCATTTACAGTCTCTCACTGAGACTCTGTTCCCAGGTGATTCTACATTGTGTCAAGTTGACAGTTAAACAAACCTTCACAGCAGATGACTTTATGTTGTTCAGCCTCCATGTACCCATTCAAAAAATGGAGTAAAAACAGCCCCAATCTGGACCTTAACCAGTCCCTCCCCCATATCTCAGTTTACAAATATTACTACTGATAGTATTACTGTTAGACACTGGAATAGAAAGAATACTCCTGACCTGAAGGGGGCGCTATAGAAATTCAATGAATTAAATAATATGTAATGTATCTAGAACAGGTGTGGCTCAGGTGTGAGCTACTCTCATCCTTAAAGAGCAATGAGGTATGGTCCCTAGGTAACTGTCTCTAGGCAATGTGTCCCCCCAACTTCACCTCACCCCTTCAATTTCAAAGTAAAGACTCCATTAAACTTCCCCCTGGAAAGGCTCTCCCTCAGGTAACACCTCAAGGTAAGGTTTCAAGTCACTCCTCAGTTTACCTGTAGATGAATAACCCCCGCCCCCCCAACTGGTGTTTTCTTCAGGTAAGATCATGGCTGAGGTTAAGGTCTCTGGTTACTCCTAGCTAGGTAACTCTACATACTGCACACCAGGCAAGTTTCTCCAGGCAAAGCTCCCTGGCAATGTCTCCAGGAAACTTTTTTTTTAATGGGGTCTCCCTATATACCCCAGGCTGGCCTATAACTTGCTGTGTAGCCCACTATGGCCTCCAACTCACAATCCTCCTGCCTTAGCCTCCTGAGTACTGGGATTATTAGCATGGGCCAGGTATAACTGCTCTTAAGATCCCCAGGATTCCCAACGTATAGGTTTCCCATCATGGCCTAGATAACTCCCAGGATAAGACCTAATATACACTCCCTCAGGAAGAGTTCCCAGTCATACATCTCAAGGGCACACCCTCCTCATTCTTCTTGGGGTGTCCCTGCAGCAATCAGACGATAAGACACATACAGTCCGCTTGGCAGTGGGCAACGGACTTCGGAGCGACGTGTGGGAAACCTTCCAGCAACGCTTTGGCCCTGTTCGCATCTGGGAAGTCTATGGCTCCACAGAAGGCAACATGGGCTTTGCCAATTATGCAGGGCGCTGCGGTGCGGTGGGCAAGACGAACTGCATTCTTCGAGTGAGTGGGCAGGCTGCCCAGTGTGACAGCGGCCCTGAGCTGAGCCACCAGGACCTTTGTCAATGCTTCCCACCCTCTATCCCAGATGCTGTTTCCCTTCGAGCTTGTACAGTTTGATGTAGACACAGCACAGCCCGTGAGGGACAAGCGAGGTTTCTGCATCCCTGTGGGGCCAGGTATGGGGGGTCAGGGAGCTGAGCTTTCCTTGAATGTATGACGGATGGTCCACTTTCTTGGCTAGAACAGGCTGCCCAGAATCTTTTTTTTTTTTTTTTTTTACCCCCCATCTTGACCCCAAATCACTAACCCATCTTCCCATCTCTTTGGGACCTCCTGCTCACAGGATGTTGGGCTCGCCCCCTCTTCCTCC